GAATTCAGCACATCAAAATACATAATAAATAACACACTTTATCTCTGAAACAGACGACTTCTCAAAAATTGTAGACCAGAGTTACAGTGAATAATCCCACCTCGAAAAGTGCTCTCAAATTTAATAGAGAATGATTTTTAGTTTTAAACCATCAGATAGAATTTAATAGAGAATGATAACATTTGTAATAGAATTCTACAGATTGATTCAAGAGCACTAGAAGAAGGAAATCTTCCTCTATTAAATTCTATAGGTGTTTGGTGGTAAATTCTATAGAAATTTACTTTTTTCATCCCTACATTCTAATTATAGAGTTTATTAAAGTTATTTTTCTAGGAGAAATTCTTGACCTGCAGCTTGATGTTCAAAAGTAGTTCATTGAATGTAAATCGATACTCAAACTTCTGTCTGTATCCTAGGTCACATAGTGTGTTTCTGTTTCTGTTCTGACTGGGTAATCTTGTCCACCCAGAGAGGTTGCTGATGTGAATACTTATGATTGCAAATGCAAACTACACTTGCCATCTATATGATACAATATTTACTTAAAAATCAGTGTTTAAGTGACTGTTCCTGCCAGTAAAATCATATAGATTTGGAATATTTGGTGAAACTGAATTTGCAAAGGTGGAAAAACAAATTCATTAGAAAATATTAACAAATACATGTGACCTTTTTATTTATTTATGTATTTCTTTTGAACCAGCTTTAATTTTTATTTTTTAAAATGTCAATTTTGGAAAATATATTTCAGATTAACTTTATACAGGAATTATAACAAAGTCTGCTTTGAAAAAGGATACATTATAATATTTTTCCATATTTAAGTTGACTTCATGGAAGCAATCTTGTGATAATCTTTACTCAGTCTGCTATGCTGCTGATGCCTCTCCATGGGATACTGTTGGTTCTCTGCCCTACCAAAACTTATCCTTTTCACCTAGGGATAGCTTGTAGACCTGATTATATCTGCTCCACACTGATTTCTCACTTACTGCTGTTGTTCCCCAGGCAACACTGTTCCATACCTGGTCTTTACCACTCACATGTACATAAACCATGCCCACTCAGGGTAGCACGGTAGCTCCACCTAGTAAAGGCCACATAAAGACTGATGAGCCTGTTAAAGCCTTGGCTAACAAAGATGGGCAATTCCTGGTGTGTTTAGTGAGCATTTGAATCCTTTTATTCTTTGTTTTTCTCTGTGATGCTTTTGCCCTAGGATTAAATGTTCTTTGCTCTGGAATAGCTGTGACAGCTCTCCCTTTCTGGGCTTTAGGACGGAATAAGTGGATTCCCCTTCTGAATAGCCAGGAGAAAGGCAGGTATAAGTGTGTATTTAGTTATGGTTTTAAAATTTTAAACTGAAATAACTACAAACACGGTAGGTGGCCTAAAATCAAAAAGCAAGTGAAACACAGTCACTTTCATTCAACCATCTTTAAGCTGGTCTCATAATTTCTGAATGCTCAGTTTGGCAATATTGCCAGTTTGGGTACTTCTGCATTAGGGCTGAAAAAGGATGAAATTTTTAGTTGCAATTATAGCTTTGATCCACAGGTGGCACATGAACTCTTGTAAATGGAAACAACAGGTTTTGCTTTTTCAGTCAGCTTCCGGCTGCTGTCACATAGTGGAAATTTGCATATTTTTCACTTAAACCCCCAACAAGGAGGTACCAAAAAACTAAACCCTACACCTCAAACACATGGTTTGCCCATCAGACAATGAAACTATAATTTAAAAAATCCTGTCGAATCTAGTGTCAACACTTGTTTATGTTCTGTCTTTGGTTGTGTTCTCTCCCCGGTATATTGTTAGCTGGTTCTCCATATGTTCTGTAGGAACAATAGATTCTCATATCTTCCACCCAACCCCCACTCATCTCTCCATATGCACCATGCCAGTATTTTATAAAATTTTCCCATTAATTGTTGTGCAATAATTAAAACTTGAAACTGTGGCCCCCTTCATCTTTGTTCTTCATCACAAAACTCTTTCCCTTGATTTTTTACTCTTCCATTTGCCTATCCCTTTCCCCTCACTTTGTATTCCCTGAAGATGACTTTCATTCACATTGCCCTCCTCAAGTCTCTTCCCTTCCATCTCATTCGCTCTTGACCTCACTTCCCTCCAAGCTCTCATTCTTCCCTCCTTCCATATTATATTGTGTATTTTTCCCTTCTGTTCCTTCATTTGCTCTCTCTTGTTCACTCTACTTCATGAACCTGATTCTCCACTACCTTGCCCTGTGTATTGGCTTTTACGTGGCTGCTAAGTAGGTGTGAAACGCTACCAGATCAGAACTCTCCATAGACTGACATTACTGGTTTCCTGACTATACAATGTATAAGGTAGTGGAGGATAGGGCCCCATCTCCCTTTCTCCTGATGTCTCTGCTTGCATCCCTCTCGATGTTCTATCTTTCTTGTTAATTCCCTATCCTTTGTCTGTCTTGTTCTCTGCCCTCACAGCCATCCCTACTCAATCTTTTGTCTTCCAAGTCCCCATCAATCAACTGATCATGTGACACTCCCTCTCCCCACTTCATTCAATCGAACCTTTGCCCGAAGCCCTCTACCAGCCCGTCTATCTTCTGTCTCCTCCAGCACACTGATTCTGTGCATCTTCCCTCCTGCGAGGAGTAGCTGCCACTGTTGTGTAAGGGTGGGGCTGCAGAGACCAAAGGCCATCCTCCAACTTGGAAGGGGGGCTGCGGACTGCAGGGGGCTGAACAAACTGGAGCTGCCTGCAGCTTACAGCAGGATCTGGCTGCCATAGTATGTACTGTTGAAATAAAATAACGAAACTGTTAACTACAAACTCTCCATGCCTTTAAGAAGAAAAACACAGTTCCCAATTGATCCTGTTCCTCTGCAACCCCAGCAAATCAATACTGTGTGTGACAGAGAATGTGGAAACTCAAGGCAGAGATCTATTACAAGGGGACGTTTAATACGTTAAAAACTTTAAAAATAAAAGTTCCTCCTTGAGTTGTATGTAAAACCCAAGGGGAGGATAAGGAAGGACCCTGACTGCAGGGTCAGTGAGTTCTTCCTTCCTCCCTTCAGTCACCTTCATAAACAGACACTGGGTTGCTCTTACCCTTGGGCAATGTTTCTGGCAGAGCTTTCTCTGGAAGCAGGAGGGTAAAACCCCAGCAGCTGCTGGGTTCTATTTTAGGTTACAGGAGGGGAGTGAGGTGGCCCTTGTAAGTACTATTTATGTGTTTACATACACCCTCTGATGGTAGGAATGCAATATTGTAAGTCAGGCTGTATTGCAGTGTCCCACTGAACAGTGGGGAAACTGCTAGATCTTTGTTCTGTGTATTGCTGGCAGCTCCTTGCTTGCTGCGGACCTGGGTAAGTAAGATGAGAAATGTTTTAATAGAGAGGAAAAGATAAACACATGGAAAAGTAGTGTGTGTGTGTGTGTGTGTGTGTGTGTGTGTGTGTTGGGGGGAGAGAGAGAGTGTGAGTGGGAAGGGGGTACACCTTTCAAGGAGTTTAGTGGCTAAAAACCTACAAAGAGCGTAGCCCAGGGACTATAAAGCTGGTCTCTAGAATTACAGTGGGACAGTAATGCCACGCCAAGAAAGGCTGAGATAGCACTTAGTACCTGTTTGATTTCAGCATGAGGGTGTCACTGTCAATTAGATGCTTTTTTCTACCTTAAAGGTAGATTGCGTGAAGGGGTGACTACTTCATATAACTGTTAATATGAGAGCTTTTAAAGTTAAATTAATCTAATTACTGGGGGATTTTAATTTAAAATCTGTTTTCTGTATCAGAATAGGCTCCAGGGCCCAGCTGCACAAAGGTATGTAGGTGCCTACATCTGATGCTGTCGTCCAGTGTGCAGAGCACCCCCTGAGTGCTGGGAGACCTCTGTCCATTCCCCTGCTCCAATTACTGTTTCACTATTTATCCACAGTGGAGCAGCTTCAACAGCAGGGACTGAGGGAGACCCACATCAGAATGTCCTAGCTCAGGGTTAGCGCACTCTCCTGGGGGGTGGGAGATGCCTCTTCAAATCCTTTCTCCCCATGAGGCAGTGGGGGGATTTGAACCTGGGACTCTCACCCCCCAGGTGAGTGCGCTAACCACTGGGCTAAAAGATGGACACGCTCAAGAAGCATCTTAGGTGCCTAAAACGTCGGACTCCAGGAGACAGGTTCCCATCCAGGGATCATGAAGTAGAGATAGGTGCCTCACTGCAGCTCGGACTTAGGTACTTAACTCGAGAGGGGTGGGCGTGGCACACACCCCTCCTATTGGCATCTTCCACTGGCTAGCTGAGTGCTTTCTGGCTTTTGTGGGGAGTGCCTCTTTCTCCCCACTCACTATACAGGGAGCCCAGACACCTAACTCAGGCGCTATGGATAGCACTGTTGTTCCAGTGACTTTTCTAGGCGCCTAAAAGTTATGTGATGTGACAATCAGCATTGCGACGCCTAAGTCCCTTTGTGGATCCCACCCCAGCTTCTTGTTGCCTGTTCCTCTTCTTTAATGTTTTCATGAGTCTACCACTCGTATCTCCTGTGCTACAACTAGAGTGTGATAGCATCTCCCCACCCCCATCCCATTGCCTTGCTCCCTGCAAACAGCTGTTGTACTTCTCCCTCACAGTCGTATTTTGTCTTTCTCCTTGCTGTTCTACATGGACCTGAGTCTGTTTCCCCTCCTCCAATTCATAAGGAACCTCCCCTTCCCCCCAGAAAACTTGTACTTTGTCCCCCTGATGCCTGGAAATCCTACTGTGCCTTGCCCAACTTTCAACAGGCTGCTTCCAGCCTGGGTGCAGGCTGTTTTTTTCATAATTTTCTCCCTTTTTGTCTCTTCAGTGCTGCTCTGGGTGGGTGGATGTGTTGGGAAGACATCCTTTGCTACATAGTTCCCTGAGATCAAGCAGGGCCACTTGTAGTGCTTATCTAGTGCTCGCTGCATTTGAGAGAGAGAGACACACACACAGTACTACAGCTGCTGTCTAATGGATTATTCATTAGCATAAAATGGGCTTTTAAAAACTATTTTCAGAGTTTTCCCATGTTTTCTGGGATGTATGTCTGCAGAAAAATCTCTTATTGGATGTAGCTTTATGTTTACCCACAACAGGAAGCTGAATGCATTCTATCAGTAGAAGGATCTCGGAAATTCATTGGAGAGATTGTGTAACCAACGTTGAAGTGTTGTGCTGCATGGGTCAGCAGATTGTGGACTCGATTATACAGAGATGGTGTGATGGGATGTTTGCCCCACACAGGTGAAGAAAGGGTTAACCTCATTAAGAGCAGTGAAGGTGAGTCCTCCAAATGGCCCAGAGAGGCTGTGTGAGGTGCAGCCAATAGGAGGGAGGCTGCAATTAGCAGCCAATCACGTCCCAGCAGGCTCACATAAAAGGAGCTGCAGGGGTAAGGAGTGTGAGGCTGAGAGAAAGCTAGCACCCTGGACAGGTCAGTTGCTGCCAGGGACCAGCAACAAGAGAGAGCTCCTGGTAGGCTGCAGGAATTGAGTAGCTGAGTGCCCTGAGGTAAGGGTGAAGAAGGTGCTGGGGCCGTGGAGAAGTGGCCCAGGGGATCAGAGCAGTGGTGAGAGGAACTAGAGGCGCAGCAGGAGGCTGCCATCTACAGGGTCCCTCCATGATAGATGGATACATGGTTTAGCCATGTCATCAGGCACCTGAAGCACAAGGTATGTCTTAGATTGGATTCTGCCTGGAGGAAAGAGAAATAAATAAATAAATGGAGATATCCCATCTCCTAGAACTGGAAGGGACCTTGAAAGGTCATTGAGTCCAGCCCCCTGCCTTCACTAGCAGGACCAAGTACTGATTTTGCCCCAGATCCCTACGTGGCCCCCTCAAGGTTTGAACTCACAACCCTGGGTTTAGCAGCCAATGCTCAAACCACTGAGCTATCCCTCCCCCCGAAGGTGGGCTGGAGGACAAAGAATGACCTATCACTGAATGTTTGAAAAGGATCTGCCATCATGGAAACAACTTACAATGGGCAGACAGCAGTGGGGGAAAATGGGTTGCCTTCTGCAATCAGGCACAGGAGATTCTGAGTAAGGTTATCTTTAAGTTACCTATATGTTGACTGGCTACAGTACAAAGAAAGGAAATTTGCCTGGGGTGGATGAGTGCCATATTTTTGGGTTTGTTTATCCATGTCTCCTAAAAGATCACTCCTGTCCCCTTGCACCATCCATTGCAGGAGAGACAAATAAATGCATTTTTTCTTACCATTATCCATACAGTCATATTGATTCATAACACTAAAGTTTTAAAGAGGGTAACTTCAAAAACAACCACCGTCAGACCCAGGAGTGTGGTAATGGAGGAACTCTTAGGCATGCTATTTGGAGACATCAAATGAATATATATCAATAGCTGCAAGCATTCCAGAATTCTCTAACAGAACTGTGAATGAGACTGCAATCTCCTGAAGATGTGGAAATGCAGGTGTGTTAAAAAGAAAAGCGGTAAGTGGCAAATAACCAGAAGGAAGAAAACAAGCCACTTACATCCAATACTCTGAGCCTACTGAATGTCTGCTGGGACTGTTTTTGACTTTCACTGAAGTCATTGGGCCCTTGATTCAGCAAAGCACTTAACTCTCCTATCTTAAAATTAATCAGGTGCTTAAATGCTTTCCTGAATAGGCATGGATTTAAGCACATGCTTAAAGCTAAATGGCTTTGTTGAAGCATGACCTTGCAGCTGAGGTCACTTGGCATCTCAGAATTAGGTTGTTAATGTTTTATAAATTCAGTCTCATGCTTTGTCACTTCATGAATTTTTAATTGATATATGAAAATAATATTGGTTGCTCGTACAAGGTTACTAAATATGAAACACAATATGGATTTACTATACATCTTGTTTTCTAAAGTTGTGAAATGAGGTTACAGTGGGGATTTTAACAGTTCACATGGTATTTTGATAAAAAGAAGAATGTAGCTTTTGTAAGCTTTTTTCATGTTTGTCTTTGCAAGTACTTAACATGGTTTTTCATCCTATTTTTTCCCTCTACGGCATGGATAAATAAAGCTTCTTTATATGTGATCACAGTAATTCTGCATAATTGAAAATTTTAGCAGATATCCATATCAGCCAGAAGCAGACTGCAATGTCTAGTCCCAAAATATTCTTGCCTAACCCTCTTCCATCAACCCACAACACACCCCTCACTCAGCCTATGTGAATAAGCATCACATACTTCCCAAGCCAACAGCTCCATGATCCTGGCAAATAATTCCTTCTGGAGGGGGCTAGTCAAAAGATCTACCCCTGACCGTAGGTAGATCCCAACTGAAGAAAGGGACTGAGCTAAGCTAATGCAAATACTATGAGTGAATATATGAATTGGGTATGTGTGTGCAAAAAAATTCTCTTTGGCGTCTGCAGTGTACAACTACTTTATGTACAAAAACTCAATTTACTTGTGCACTCAGCATTTCCAGGTACAACTTAAGTACATGTAAACAAGTGCATATGCAACATATTTGAAAATCTGGTCCTCAGTGCTTGTCTCTGTGGGTGGTGGATACCATAGGCTGGGGGAGGCTGTGCCTCTCCTAACAGCCAGGTGTGGCCCTGGCCACACTCGGGCACCAGACCCCACCCTTCTGCTTGAACTTCTTGCTCTGTGTGCAGCTCCAGTCCCCCTGTGCAGTGGCCCTGGCTCAGGCTGGGGCTGTGCTGCTGCCCTCCTGACGCTCCAGGGCTGGAGAGGGGGGCGGTGGGGACACGGAAGCAGAGGGGCCTTGGGCGGAAGAGGTGGGGCTGGGCCTGGCCTCCCCAGACTGCAATTCATGCGCCGCCCAGGGTTGTGTCCAAAAAGTCATGCAAATATTCACCCATTCTTTTAGCAGACTCTCAAGTGCCATAAAATTTAGCTGACAATGTTTTCTTTGCATATGTGATGGCACATATCTAGAACTTTAAATTATAACCTTCTTGCAGCAGAGACCTGGAATGAAATCCTAATCCCAGTGAAGTCAATGGGAATATTGCCAATGATTTCAATAGGGTCAATATTTCACCCTTTCTCTTTATATTTGTGTTTACAGCACCATATGCACCTATGACACTAATTAAATAGTAAATAATAGTGTCATTTGGTTAAAAGGGACTTCGGAATAGTCCTTTCAGTGCTGTGGAACCAGTTTAAGTGACTTTGACATATAAATATCTAACCACCTTTTCAGATGCCAATTGGATTGTGCAGGGAAAGACAGTGGCTTCAGAATGATTAATGAAAAGTCAGCGCTCAGTGGTAATTTAATTAGTTTTTCTATTAAACAAATTACTTTTTTTGCTACTAACTCATCCTGGATTGACCTTCAGATAACAAGTCACTAACTGTATTAGCAGAAGTATTACAGGGCCAGTGGGCATCGCACCTGATTCATGTATTTTTTGCTGGTGTTTGCACATTTCCTTTCTGCCTGCTCCAGAAAAGACTTTACTCTCCCTGTGTGTGTTTCTTTGAGCCCACTATTTATTTCTATTACCATAGAACCTAGGAGCCCCACTCATGGACTAGGGCCCCATTGTGCTAGGTGCTGTACCAACACAGAACAAAGAGAGGGTCCCTGCCCTGAAGCACTTCCTAGGGCGTGGGGTGGAGTAGCATTCGTACTCAGAGTGACCAATGTGACAGCAGGAAATGTCATGTTGGTGTCACAATATTTTTTGTGGGTTTAGTTCGGAGGGGATAGGCTAAAAAGAAGGATGTTGAAGGGGAGAGGAGGGTAAAAGGAGTGATTCTGAGGTGAAGGGACTATGAGGGTTGGGGAAGGGGATGAGTTGGAGCAAACAGGCACTCAGCACAGGGCAGAGAAAGTCCAGTCAAAAGTTAGAAAGTTTGCCAAAGGGCCCTGCTTTGGTTGTTTCTGCTGGAGTCTCTGGCTGGGTACTCTTTGAAGCTTTCACCCAACCCCATTCCCTGTGGCACTGGGTGAGACACCACCTGGATCCTAAGGCCCCAATTGATGGCTGCATTGCATGAAAGTGACACAAACTAACCAGAGCATAAAGCTAAAATTGACCCATTGATTTTTGAAAACATCCTCTCAAGTCTACACAATAGCTTTTATTGAGGTGGGATTTAAAGCCATTACCACATACAGCTGTACAAATAATCATTTTTTTTAGTTTGGTGGCTGAGCCAAAAAAAAAAGGGGGGTGGGGGTGTTGATTAGTTTGGGTTGACTCGAAAAGAATTTTTTTTGGTGAACCAAAAGCTGATTTTTTTTTTATTTCAGGTTGAACAAAATTTTGTTTTGTTTTAACCTTTTCTTGAAATAAATAAAATTGAAGCATAATTCAAGATGAAAAATCATTTCAAGTCAAAACATACTGTTCTTAAAGTGTCAAAATAGACCATTTTGATTTTTTCTTTTTTGTTTTCAACCAAAATAATTCAGCAAATTCAACATGAGTTCACAAAATATTTCAGTCGACCCAAATCTGCCTTTTTTTTTTTAAATGTTTATCCGAAAAATTGACAGGTTTCAGAGTAGCAGCCGTGTTAGTTTGTATCCGCAAAAAGAAGAACAGGAGTACTTGTGGCACCTTAGAGACTAACAAATTTATTAGAGCATAAGCTTTCGTGGACTAAAGCCCACTTCTTCGGATGCATATAGAATGGAACATATATTGAGGAGATATATATACACACATACAGAGAGCATAAACAGGTGGGAGTTGTCTTACCAACTCTGAGAGGCCAATTAATTAAGAGAAAAAAAACTTTTGAAGTGATAATCCAGTAAGATAGCCCAGTACAGACAGTTTGATAAGAAGTGTGAGCATACTTACAAGGGGAGATAGATTCAATGTTTGTAATGGCTCAGCCATTCCCAGTCCTTATTCAAACCGGAGTTGATTGTGTCTAGTTTGCATATCAATTCCAGCTCAGCAGTCTCTCGTTGGAGTCTGTTTTAAAAGTTTTTCTTTTGTAATATAGCCCCCCGCAGGTCTGTCACTGAATGACCAGACAGGTTAAAGTGTTCTCCCACTGGTTTTTAAGTGTTTTTGGCTTGTCTGGTTAGGTAGACTCTCTCCTCAGACCCTACGCTACCAGCACTCCCAGCTAT